AGCTGCTTTCTGCTGCTTGTTTTGATTCCTGGGCTGCCTCCCAAGCTGTACCAGTCCAACTGCCTGTGTCAGTGGGAAATGAATGAAGTCTAGGCATTGATTAAATTTTAAAATAACTTTTTTTTTTTTTTCCCTGCTGCTGCTGAAAAAGGCATTTGTCAAACTGCAGCCTAAAGGATTTCTATAGGGCTGGTAAGAAAATCAAAAGAGTCAGCTGGTCTGTGCAGCCTGGCAAGCTAGTGAAAAGGAAGACAACAGTAAGCAGTGCCATGGGAGAGCAAATTCTTTTAAGCATGTTTCTTGCTGGAATGATAGACTTAGACTTGTGAGAAGTGGGGCCATTGCTTGGGTATTCTTGAATCCATCGAGAGAGGAGTCGTTTATGTTCTTTATACATAAACCCGATCACATGCAACTCAATACTTGCCTCTTACCATCCGTTCCTCACCATAATGGGAACAGCCTGGCAGTCCCCCATGCCCTGACTACCATTCCCAAGGGAAAGGTCATCATCATATTGGTGGGGGTTTGATGATCCCCCAGAAATTCAGGTTTTGGGAATGGAGCTGTAAGAATATTCTAGGCTTACCGGTTCACTTAAAAATAAATCCATGGCTTGACAGAGCATTGTGATGGAGATGTGCTGTTTTCCCTGGCCTCAGGACGCCCACAGACTCTTGGCAGGGTTTGACCTGGCAAAGAACATAAGAATGAAAACAACATTGCTGGACCCATTTGTGTACATTTCTACTGAAGCTTTACAGTGAAAGGCTGAGGAGGTCATTTACCAAACCCATGCTGTTAGGATGATATAAATGTCTCAAAAGTTAGCTTGGTTTTAAAGGACACTGAGGCAAGAAGACCCTGAGCATTACTACCCTTCTAGCTTCCAAATTCTAGATTGAACAGGAGAAAGTTAACCTTTCTGTGTACTATGGCAAGCCCCAAACAACAATTAAAAGTATTTGCTATTTAAGAAGCAAATGTGTTCCTAATCTTTTATGTAACATCATCTGTGTTTTAAAATAAGAATTTTGGGTTATATATCAAGTCTATTACAGGTGTCATTTTATGAATTGCCAACAAATCTTGTGCCCTTACTTCCACTGCTAAGACATCCTCATTGTGTTTCCTGCTCAGTTGTTTGTACAAAGAGCAAGTCTCTGAAGCATTTAAACTGTTGCCCACTCTTTAAGTCACCTGTTTGCCAATGAAAAAGAAATCTATAAGTTTCTTAACTTAAGAATAGCAAACATATTTTGGAATAAAATGGAAAGACTTTCTGCACTGCTAGGATAGCCTAGTAGTGGTGACCAATAGGTCACACATACAAAGAAGTAGTGGTAGTGATTGTGGAAGGCTCAGATGTTGATACCTGGTTCATTTCTGACAAGTGTTGCAAAAAATGTCTCAACCCTCCAGTGCAGGATGCAACAAGGATGCTCAGGCTGCAAACTAACAGAAGACAGAAAAAAAAATGAACCAAATACACTGTTTTCAGGGCTGAGTTTTTTTCCCATCATCTTCCAGAAATGGACTGATACAATAATTATTTTTTTTCTGTGAGCGGCCAAAAGATGCAAGATGAACAATTGTTCTTGAACAAAGTGGCTTTTCAGCTGACAGATGCTTCTCCAGATGGCCAAAGGGACACATGGTGGAAAGTAATTTAGTAGGATGACTCCACAGAAGGAAAAACACGTCATTCATATATGTTTGAAACATCCAGGAGTCAATTAGTGGAATTAGTGTGTAATGCCTCCAGCACTCTGCATGTTCAAGGCTGTGCTCAAGCTTGTTCTCACAACTCCACTGCAAGGTGAAGCAGTAGACTACAGCATGACTCCTGACCCACACATGGCTAGTTGCCTCTCCATCTCCCTGCCTAGCTATTGATTTTGTCTGTGATATCAGCCTGTGCCACTTACTGTTCTGCATCAAGTCTTTTTTCTGCCTCTCATCTTGCCCTGTGAAGTGGCAGGAAGAGAGAAGACCAAAACCGCAAGTAAGTCTGAACTTCGAGAAGATGCGGGAGAGATGAGGTTTGCTCTTGTCTCATGTGAAGTTGCCCATCGATTTAGATTGGAGAACGACTTTAGTTTTTGTATCTAGCAGACAAGGCAGCTTCCAAGGACTGAATTATGATATCAATACTGGGGAAAGACATGCTAGAGTGTAGCCCTGTAGAAAAAGACCTGGGGGTACTCGTGGATAAGAAGCTGGACATGAGCCACCAATGTGCAATTGCACAGGAGGCCAAGCACATCCTGGGCTGCAGCAAAAGAAGTGTGGCCAGCAGATCGAGAGAGGTGATTCTGCCCCTCTGCTCTGCCCTGTGAGACCTCACCTGGAGTACTGCATCCAGATCTGGTGCCCCCAGCACGAGAAGGACATGGACCTGTTGGAGCACGTCCAGAGGAGGGCAATGGAAATGATCAGAGGGCTGGAGCACCTTTCTTATGAGGACAGGCTGAGGAAGAGAAGACTCTGGGGGGACCTTATAGCAATTTTCAGGAAATTGTAGAGGGCAATGAGGTCTCTCCTCAGCATCCTTATCTTCAGACTAAATAGCCCCAGCTCCCCCAGATGCTCCCCATAAGACTTGTTCTCAAGGCCCTTTACCAGTTTTGTTGCCCTTTGGACATGCTCTGGCACCTTGATGTCCTTCTTGTATTGAGGTGCCCAAAACAGGACACAGTACTTGAGGTGTGACCTCACCAATGCTGAGTACAGAGGGACAATTACCTCTCTGGTCCTGCTGGTCACACTATTTCTAATACAGGCCAGGATGCCATTGGCCTTCTTGGCCACCTGGGCACACTGCTGGCTCATATTCAGCTGTCTATCAACCAGAAGCCCCAGGTCCCTTTCTGCTGGGCAGCTTTCCAGCCACTCTTCCCAAGGCTGTAGCATTGCATGGGGTTGTTGTGGCTCAAGTGCAGGACCTGGCAATTGGCCTTGTTGAGCTTCATACAGTTGACATTGGCCCATCAATCTGTTCTGTCCGAGTCTCTGTAGAGCCTCCCTGTTCTCATGCACATCAACACTCCTTCCCAACTTGGTGTCATCTGCAAACTTACTGAGGTGCATTCTATCTCCTTGTCAATATTATTGATAAAGTTCTTAAGTGGTTCCAATACTGAGCCCTGAGGAACCCCACTTGTGACCAGCCTCCTGCTGGATTTAACTCCATTCACTACCATTCTCTGGGCCAGGCCATCCAGCCAGCGTTCTACCCAGCAGAGTGTATGCCCATCAAAGCCATGAGCAGCCAGATTTTTCATGAGAATGCTGTGGGAGACAGTGTCAGAGGCTTTATGGAAATCCATGTAGACAACATTCATTGTCTTTCCCTCACAGACCAGGTGGGTTATCTTGTCATAGATAGGACAAGAGGTTATGGTTTCAAGCTAGAGAAGGATAGACTTAGTTTGGACATGAGGAAAAAATTCTTTAATAGGAGGGTGGGGGATCACTGGAACAGGTTGCCTAGAGAGGTGGTGGAGGCCCCATCCCTGGAGACATTCAAGGTCAGGCTTGATGGGGCTCTGAGCAATCTGTTCTAGTGTGAGATGTCCCTGCTTATCATAGGGGGGGTTGGACTAGATGTCCTTTAGAGGTCCCTTCCAACCCAAGACATTCTGTGATTCTATTGTTTTTTAAAAATAAAACGTAGTGTAATACTTTAAAATTGCAACTCAAGCCTTTTCCTATTAAAAGAGTGGATAATTTAGCGCTCTTCTTCCTGACCACCACTGCCAGTTACCCTGTCTTAGGAAAACTCTACCACCATCTTCTGACAGCTCAGGGAAATGCAGTGACTGGTTTGTGCTTAGACTACTTCAGTGTTAGACAACTTTTGATATTTTAAATATCAAGACTTTAAATACTTGGTTGAAGCTTTATTGATTTCAGCCATTGCCTTTGCAAGCTGCTACTGATGTTGCTTTCTACTGATAAAGCAGCTTTTCTTACAGATTTCTGGGAAAGAATTAAGGAGTTGTCTTCCTTTTTAATACCCTTAAAACTGTGCTTGAATTCCCACCTGATACCTGGTGGAATGTTTGGGTGACACAGTGCACACTTCGAGTAGCAATGAATTGTGATTTCCTCATCTTTAGTTTTCCCTGTGATTTCTTGCTGCTTACTCCAGTTTTGATACCTGTGTTGCCAGTTAGTAAATCTTCCATTTTCTATTTGAATGTAAAGCTCAAATTGAACAGGAGCACTTGTTACAAATGAGCTCTGCCAAAAATAAAATTGAAAGCTACAGTCATTCATCCCACTTGCTCTTTCTGTATATGGATTTGAGACCCGATGTTGCAACCAGATGTTAGTGCTCTGCAGTCACTATAAATGACAACTGATTTTTATTAATACAATAAGATGAGAATTTTTTTTTAGACTGGCCAGTATAATATTGTACAATGCATGCCTTATCCACACAGCTAGAGCAGAAAACAAATGAAGCATTGATTTGATTACTGATAGTTGACACAGTATGACATAAATGTTTCCTGAATTTCTTTCCTCGACTTCTGATTTAAAAAAAATCTTCAAGGCCATAAATAGAGTAATCTCTCCAGCCATATCACAGTCATCTGTCATACATCTAACCCCTTTGTTTACCAGAACTGAGACAGATTTGAGGGAAGCCCCTCTGGGTCCTTAGTTAAACCCTTGGTCATACAAGCAGCTGTGTGTGTGGAGAAGCCAGAGGAGATCTGCAGGTGACCAAAAGGCTACTGATACGCTGCACTTATTAACCAGTTGTCCACATTTTTGGAGCCAGCATTCCAAAGAGCAGTGAACTGTAGGAGAAAGGCCAAATGATGGCAAGTGTGAGGATTAAGGTGACAAAAGGAGGGAGACTGCACACCCTGTAGCACCTTCCATGACTTGTGCTATCACAAAAAAAGTGGAGAAGTAGAGGGAAGCCACAGCTGCAGTTACACACTGCTCCTCTGTATTAATCACCCAATTTAATGTGTCCCTACTAGGTGTTCTGGAGGATGGAAAGTCAGCTCAGACAAGTATGGCTGCAGCATCAGCCACAGCTGGATTGCTGAACACCGAGAAGAGAAGCAACAGTGGTGCTCAGTGTTCATTCCCCATGGTCCATGGCACGGGAGCTACAACACAGAGGCAGAATGGCTTCAAAGCAGCAGAGGTAAGAGTGCAATTGTATTCCCTGACGCTCAGCACTAGCTTCAGCCAGGTCAAACTTATTTTTGTGACAGTCTTCCTCGCTGCAGTCTAACTGTATTTAATGCCTTGGGAGAAGAGAAAATAGCAGCACCACAACCACAGCCTGCTGGAGCCCAGCACCTCTGACAACATCTCATGCCTGAATGGCCACAAAACTAATGGTTTATTTGGCGATTGGAATAACACACACTTGTTACAGCAAAAAACCCCAACTCAGTCTAGTTGTGGCATGTGTTGTGCAAACTGTTTAATTATCTGAGAGGGAACGTGTTTTTTCTTAATTGCTGCTTTGCTTAAATTATGTGCACTGCACGAACCCAAGTTCATTCAAGGCTGGATCTGGATACAAAGCCTGAGAAGGTCAATAGGAGTCTTAAATAACTTCACTAGGCTTTGGATCAGACCCTCACCTACATTGTGGAAGGATCACCCAGTGTAAAAATAATGTACAAAACCCCAAGGCTTTATGTCTAGACCAAAGCCCAGACTCCTTCTCTCCTAGCTGCCCATCTTTCATAGGTTCCCACTTGCTGCCCTGTTTATGTAGCAGCTGCTGCAGAGGAAAGTAACCCAAAACCTACAGTTGCTTCCTCAGTTTCTCAGATGGGAAGATGTCTCAGCATGGTGTGTGGTGGAACTGCTACACCTACCCCGTAAGAGGCTGTCCCCTCATGGCAGTCACGTCCTTGAGAGGCAAAATTAAACCCAGGGAGTTTTTGAAAAATGAAAAAGGGAACTTCCCCTTTCCTTTGCTAACAAACAAACATTGGTAGATGTGTGTTTATTTTATACCTTCACTACACTGCCTTTGGCACTTCTGTAGCACAGAAATATTTCCTGGTGCCATGGATCCTGCTGTATTTTCACACAAGATACTGTAGCTCCAGACCTATAGGGACATATTTCACATCAGCATAAAGCCTAGGACCATGGCTTTGCTGTAAATGAAAAACAGCATAAATGTTCATTCAATAAATGCCTGTCATAGCATTTGCTCACAAAGAAGAATTAATTTGTCGGGTTGGATATGGTTGAACAGAACTAACGTAATTATTAATCCAATTTGCAAGAGATTTGGCCACACTTGAGAATTCTAGTGTGTACCTGACATATTGTTGGAGAAAATTGCTTGTCTAATGTTGTAAGCGATTGAAAAATTACTTCTGTGTTTAGATTTCCCAGGAAGCATGGGAAAATTCCCACAGCATATTAATAATGTGAATGTTGACTGTAAGGGGACTACTCAGTGAAGTGTGGATTCCTGACATCTGCAAAGTATGAAAGGAGTCCTAATACCAGTGAGGGCAAAATAATGGTCAAGCACCCCAAAAGCAAAGGTAATATCCAGATTATGTCACCGAGTGACAATAACCTGGTTTGATTTTCATTATATGTGTAGTCTTTGCAGACTCCTTGTGTGAACAGGAACATTGGGGGAATCAATAGCTGAGCAGCAGGGGTATTCAGGCTGCAGAAATCTGAAGTAATACACACCAGCAAATGTGATCCCCAGTTTTTGCCCACAGATTAATATGTACATTTTCATTCAGGTCAGGGGAAGTTCACTAGACATTATTCCACCTGTCATCGTTACCATGTAATTGATGATTAATTTACCTGACATTGTTTTCTTGTAAAAATGTCTCATGAAACACTGGAAATAAAATAATAAAAACCACCTAACTCAGCTCTGTGCCTCTATCAGCCCAGTTCTGAGTGTCCTTTGCTAGACTCAGCCAGTTTACTGTTATTAAACAGGATAGTGTGTTGCTTATCTCTGTATTTAACAGCTAAATGGGTCACAGTCTCCTTCCCACTCAGCTTTGCTTTTGGACACACACTCCTGTTCCTACACAGGTTGTAGTCAGCAGGTTTAATGCTCCAGTCACATAAGCCAGCCTCCTCTCACTCCATTTTGGCAATTATGTGAAATTTTAATTAACAAGCAAGAGAACTGTTAGACATTGGAATAATCCCCCAAGGGAAGTGTTGGATTCCCCTACATTGGACAATTTTAAAACTCAGCTTGAGAGGCTGCTGAGCCATCTCATATAAACTATACTATAACCTAGAAAGGTTGGACCAGATGATACTTGAGGTCCCTTCCAACATGGCATTCTATGATTCTATGGTTATGCCAAGAAAGACACAGACTAGGAAATGGAGAAGGATTGATTTAAGTGAACGATGTGTTTGCAAACCTCAGACTGACTTTTTAAAATACTTGAAAGCAATCTGATGAAGCTCTGACAGGTACATATTGAACTTGGGTCCTAACTGCAGGCAGAACTAAGTGTTATTTTGAAACTATATCTTCATGTAGGAAACATAAAAGAGTAGAGAAAATTCTGTCTCAGACATCACCCTCAACTCCCAGTGACATCAAAAGGAACATCTAATTTCTGCTTCTGGGCTGAAACCAGATTTATTTGCTCTGCTTTTTGGAACACACACGTGCAGAGATGGTAACGATGGCCAGGAGGGTTGATCCAAAGTCTACTGACATCCAGAACCTTTGCAGTGGTTATAAAAGCTTGCAGCCATGCAGAATGAGGAAGCTGCTCCACATGGCAGTACTGTGTGGTGAATGCTGGAGGCATTCTGTTTAGTAAACAGAACTTTCCAGAAGTTAGGAGGTAATTGTCAATGACTCTTTGTCCTGTCAGTGTGGAACTCACTTTACTGTTTAAAACTTTTACAGAGTAAATGGGACACACAGAAAATGTCTGCAAAAGAAGTCACTATTAATGTTACAAAAAGCATCAGACAAAGTGACAGAAGGAAAACAAAGAAATGTGTCAATTAATGAAGCAAAGCACAAGTGAGGATGGACCTAAGAATGCTTCGCTGCACTTTAAATGCCACCAGTTGCTGAAAATATGAAGATCTCCAAATATTCCATGTTGAATACAGCAGGGAGCTGCTGCTGAGTGCCTTCAGAGACATGTCTTGTAGAAACCAGCTGCAGACACTGTAGGATGTTCAGATGCCATTTTTCGTATGCCAAAATTCAAGCCATTTGGTTTTTACTAAGTCCTTTGTTATCTCTCTGTGCATGCCCTGCTCTGCATTGCTATTAGAATGAGGCTGAGTGATGAGAGGTACAGTTCATTGCAATTTAAAACAGTAAATTAACAAGGGAATCTGCATTTTTAGTTGTAAGTGGTTTCAAGTTGTGTGCACTCAAACCCACAGAGTTCCTTGAAAGCACTCGCTTTCATATATCTCAAACCCAGAGATCTCAGAGACATATAGGTGACTTCCACTAAATCTCTTTTGAACTACCTATATTGGTTATATATAGTAAAGTCATATAGTAACTTTTTTAATATCAATCTTTTAATGACTTAGCTTTATTTTCTCTATTGGCATAATTTAGATCTTCAAACCAGTAACTTTCATATTGATCAGTCTTACTTAAAATTCCTAGTCTTAGCTGACAGGTATGGTTCTGGCTAATTGCTTATTTTATACATGCCCCTTTAATTATGTTGAGGCCCAAACTGACTTGGAAAAAAATAATAATTAACATTACATGAAAATAACCATAAATCTTAAAACCATATTCCAATGACAGCTCCAAAAATTAACTTTATTTGATTGGATATAGTTGATTTGCTGTGAACAACTTACTTAATTGCATTGTAAGCATCCTGTATTATAGTACTTCATCTTTACCATAATTATACAGCTAAAAGTAATAGAAATGTTCAGTGCAGTAAAGCCCAGGAATTAATTCAACATAGTACTTCTTAATATAGGAGTAATAATACATATTCTTTGTGAGTTTGTACATTTATGAAGATAAAAGAAGTAAATTTAGTGGTCATATCAGTGATACATGAGTAATCTTAGAAGACCATAACTATTCAGGAGTTGTTCACAGCAAACAGGTGGTGTTGGGGAGAAACTCCACAGATGAACTGCAAGAAGTCCTTTTTACACATAGGCAAATAAGTATAAATAGCATTATGGGATTGAATCCTAATTTATTACATATTAGGATAATTTTAATAACTTGCTGCTAGGTGTGTGATAACTTAATGCTTCCCTTGGAGCACAACAACTCTATGCAATAGGGAATTGCTTATTAATTATCCTGTCACAAAGGCAAACTGAAATCCAGAGTCAGTGTGAGGTTTTTGCATACAGTGGCATATTTATAAGAAATACTTATTTTTAGATGTCCTAAAAAGGGGCAAAGAACTTATGCTAAGCTTTCTGCAGGTCATTGTGTTAACTGGTAAGTGATCTTGTGCTGCATGTTTACGTAGGAAAACTAAAAACTATTAAAAATAATGTTGTATGGGTTAGACAATGGCAGTCTGCTTATGTCCTTCCAAGTTGTGGCTCTCTGCGAACTTGCTGGCAACATCATAGTACAGGAAAGGACTTGACTAACTCTAACAATGAACAGTGACTGCATCAGCTCACTAATACTAATTTAGAAATAGGCATTTCTGGTGGCTGGGTACTGACCTAATCAAAAGCACACATTCAGGATTCTGCATTATTTGTGTAGAGCAGAAGATGAACCTGCTTCTGTTTCAAATGATTTACTGGCAGAGAGTGCAGTATAAACCCATATGATACAGGAATGTTACAGAAAGCTATTAATGATGCTCTTGTGGGCCATGAAGATGATCAAAGGGCTGGAGCACCTGTGCTACAAAGACAGGCTGAGAGAGTTGGGGCTGTTCAGCCTGGAGAAGAGAAGGCTCTGGGGAGACCTTATAGCACCTTCCAGTACTTGAAGGGGCTACAGGAAAGCTGGGGAGGGGCTTTTCATCAGAGAAGATAGTGATAGGACAAGGGGTAATGGTTTTAAATTGAAAGAGGATAGATTTAAGTTGGATGTGAGGAAGAAATTCTTCACCATGAGGGTAGTAAGGTGCTGGAATAGGTTGCCTAGGGAGGTTGTTGTACCCCCTCCCTGGAGACGTTTAAGGCCAGGTTGGATGAGGCTTGTGCAGCCTGGTCTAGTGTGAGGTGTCCCTGCTCATAGCAGGGGGGTTGGAACCTGATGGTCTTTAAGGTCCCTTCCAACCTTAACTTTTCTGTGATTCTATGATTTTGAAGGAAGACAGAAGGGAAGGTTCATTGTCTATGAAGCTTTTTCACAGCTGCCTTGGGTGGATATCACATAAGGATGAGTAGATGCAAGAACAAAGGAGTCCTGGCAGTGAGATTATTTACTAGCTAAGAAATGACTTTGTACTTGTGTGCTGACCAGATGCATCTGATGGCTTGGGTCACACAACAGAGGAAAGCTTCCAGTGCTGCCCAGAGCATTGCTGTGAGAAATAGCCCCAGCTGCATGCAGGCAGTCAGCAGAGAGGTAGTTTCGAGTCTCACACTCAGAGTGTGAGGTGTGACAGGTTGGTTAGCAGGAGGTGGCCTTGGTGCATGATGATCTGGGCAGTACCACAGAACATGCTTATGTTGACTGCATCCCCCGTCAGGGTGGCATCTGTGGAGGCATGAAGGCTGACTGACCTGGGTGACTCCTCTCACTGCTTATGATAACTTTCCTGAGCTACTTCAAGATCCCATAAACCTGTTTATATCCTGAAAATTAACCTTAGGGCACTTCAAGACTGGATCCAAATTCTGTGGTAGAAACTGTCTAGTTACAAGCAACTTCATAAGCTCATGTCACCCATTACCGTTCTTATTCATCAGATGGTAACTGAAAATAAAAAACATTGTGTTGTAGGTGGCTTCTTAGTTCTTGATGTGTAAGCTTCCAATGACCTTAATAAAACTAAGAACATGTTGTGGAGATGTGGATCCTGCCTATTTGCATAGATAGGGTTATACTTATGTTTTATTTACTTGCTTTCTACTAGAGACAACCATCAGTGGAAACAACTAATTTGTTTATGAAATAACATACCACTCTCTGTAATTAAGGGTGACAGAATCTAGTCTGTGCTGCTTAAGACAATTTAAAGTTCTAAAAATAGATTCCTGTGTTGGTTTTGGTGGAAGAAGCAAGCTCAAAGAATCATCTGGACATCTTCATTCCAGGTGGCCTTCCTAGGAGTGAAGAGTCTTATTTACAGGGTCAGTTCTTTGTGTAGCATCTTTCAAACATAAATGGCTCAAACACAGGGAATAAAATAATCATATTAGAAGGCATAAACTTTTAGATAAAAGATGTGCACACATCTCTGTCATCTTATATGTTGGGATTTTTGAAATTGAATTTTCCCCAAAAGATACTATACCACCTAATTTGTTCCATATCCCTTGGCTGCACAAGAGGATTTCTAAAGCTACACTGAAGCAACACACTTTCTGCTGAAATGATTTGCCAACATTGGGTGAGTTTTTATGCTTTACCTGAGCTCAGGTTTTATGCAGAAACAAACTTACTTACTCCACAATTCCAACACAACACATAGATAGGATTTTCCTCTGATGTGCGTGTATGTATAAGATAAATTATCTGCCAGTATGTTGAGAAATGGGATCACTCAAAAGAAAGTGGACATTAGTTAAAGACACAGCAATGCCCTGTGCAGCACTGGAGGCTTTCCTCTGGTAATTGGTCCAAGCTATCAGGTGCCTCTGGTCAGCACATTGTTACAAAAGAATTTTTTAACTGGTTAGTTACTAATAGACATAATTTGGAAAGTTCATCTTTTCAATGACTCAGTGCAATTTTACCTTTGAATATTCCTTCACCTTGTCCCTTATGCTTCTTTCATGTATTTCATGACTTTACCATGACTCTATGACCTTGACTGAAAGAAACATAATTTTACTGTGTGACAGAAATTATCTTTTACTGAAAAAATAGGAAACTATAATTGTGTATGCAACATATGAATACTGGGTTAAACGTATTCTTGTTAGCTAAGTGACTAAGGTCCCATACAAACCAGAAAACAAGTATCTTTTATCCTCTGATATGTTCATATATAAACATATGAATATGCTCATGTGTGTGTGTGTGTGTGTACAGTGTGATGTCTTCAGTGAGTACTTCTGCAGTACAAGCATGGGGTTTTCTGAACCTTTCAGTTGTGTTTTTAATTATGACACCCAAGTATGAGATATTTTAATGTTTGAACTGAAATCGAATTTACACACCTTACGAAAAGAATGGGCTATATAATTTGTGTGCAGAACTGGTGTTTGAAAAAGTAGGTCTGGTTTTATTTGTAAGTGATGAATAATCTCTCCAAATTCAAACTAGACTAAGGAAGCATTTTTTTTTTGTACTCTTCATTTTATCTGCACATTATTGAAGATTGAACTTCAAAATCACAGATTCATTGGTGTTGGAAGGGACATCTAGAGATCATCTAGTCCCAGCTCCCCTGCTAAAGGGTTAGGGTTAGGGTTTTCCCTCATGTTCAGATAGAACTTCCTGTGTTCCAGTTTGTGCCCATTGTCCCTTGTCCTATTGCTGGGCACTGCTGAAAAGAACCTGACTCCATCCTCCTTACACTCACCCTTTAGATAGTTACAGACATCAATAAGGTCTCCTCTCAGCCTTCTCCTCTCCAGGCTCAGGAGTCCCAGCTTTCTCAGCCTTTTCTCGTAAGGGAGATGCTCCAATCCCCCAGTCATCTCTGTTGCCCTCTGCTGGACTTTCTCCAGTAGTTCCCTGTCTCTCTTGAACTGGGGAGCCCGGAGTTAGAACACAATATTCCAGTTGTGGCCTCACTAGGGCAGAATAAAGGGAAGGATGACCTCCCTTGACCTACCAGCCACACTCTTCCTAATGCATCCCAAGGTACCATTGGCCTTCTTGGCCGTGAGGGCACATTTCTGGCTCTTTGTCTACCAGGACTC